TACGCCACCTACGAACATGGAAATTCCCGTGTCTGGAATGGAATGTGCACTCCCTCCCCGCACTCTCAACAGAAACTGTAACAAAATTAGATTTCTTTCCAATTCATTTCATCTCATGCTGCATCATTGCAACAGGACTGAGGCATGCGTCCGGGTATTTTGTTTTGTGTTCAGAAATTCAAAAGCACCAAGAAGATATTATGTCAATAGCCGCGGAAATATAATCCACGTTCAAAGCACAGAGCACAATGAAACGCGTTAGCAAGTGTTTTTGCGTTAGCAACAGAAGGGGAACTATTTTGACACTGACAGCTGCAAATCTGGCAGCATTGATGCGGGTTATCTCAACAGCTTTATTCACGATATTATGTCTGTGCTCATAGGAAAGCCTTGATCAGTAACAACAACTCAATACATTTAACACAATGTTAACAGTCAAAGGCTCCTTACTCTCTTTCTCCTTTCACCCCCACCAACTTTCCTTCACTTGTTCTCAAGTAATTGTGCAATTGTGAGGCTGTACTCTGATGACTAAATGGTATGAATTTAAGATCATCAACACACAAAAAAAACAAAAGGAGAGGTTAGGATATATTTTTCTAAATGCACGCACAGATGGTTATTAGGACACATGGAATGCTGTAACAAAAAATGATGGTTGAAGCAGAATCCATAATAACGTTTTAAAAAGGTTATTAGATAAACATCTGAAAAGGAAAAATAAACAAAAAGGTATGGGGTTAAAGGCTAAACAGATAGATAGCGCTAATGCTCTCCGGAATTAGGTAAGCAGGGTACGTCCTCCCAAGGAGAGTATGCATTCCAGTCTAAAGGCAGGGACATTTTCATGTGGAGGTGGTATATGTTATGATCAGAACAAAAGTGAATTATTAAAATAATTTTGGTTATGTATGCTTATACGTATTAGCTAGTGTCGAGCTGACCTGCAAAAATCACGATCTTGATTATAAAACGTTGTTTTGATTTAAGTGAAGGTTGTTAATGCTTGTTAGCAGGTGTCGTGATGACTTGCAGAACTACAACTTTGATAAAAATGTTGTATAAACTGAGCCGAGTTGCAGAACTTCTATCTAAACATAACCGGCGTCACGCGGTAGCTGGTATAACACAAGATAAAATGGTATGAGAAGACGTCAATATGCTGTGGATTGTATTGTGAAGAGTTAAATTGCTCCCTCAGCCTCTGCCTCCTTGTCCTCCTCGACCTCTCTGCCGCCTTCAACACCGTCGACCACTCCATCCTCATACACCTCTCCTCTTTACTTAATCGTCGCGGATCTGCCCTCAATTCCTATTTCTCTCACAGTCTCCACTTTGTTGCCTCTAACGGTTTCTCCTCCAGCCCCCGCATTGTCACGTACTGGTCCCCCAGGGCTCTGTCCTTGGCCCTCTCCTCTTTAATATCTACACGCTCCCCCTTGGTGACATCATCCGCAGACATGGGGTCAACTGCCACATATATGCGGATGACACCCAACTATCTTTCTGCCTCCACCCTCAACTCCAGGACCACTGCTGTCCTGACAGACTGTCTGTCGGACATCAAGTCCTGGATGAGGGCAAATTTCCTACAGTTGAATGTGAACAAGACTGAGGCCCTCCTGATTGGCTCGCGCCAGCGCCTCAGCACCTCAGGCTCTGGCAGCATCAACCTCCACGGTTGCACACTACAACTCACCAAACCAGTCAGGAACCTCGGTGTCTTGTTCGACCCTCAACTGTCTTTTCTTCCCCACATCCAACCCATGACCCACTCTGCCTTCCCTCACCTCTGTAACATCGCCCGACTCTGCCACTACCTCACCCCTCAGGGCGCTGAAACTCTTGTTCATGCCTTCATCACCTCCAGGCTCGACTATGCAAACGCCCTGCTTGTCAGCCTTCCCAACTCCTCCCTCCACAGGCTGCAGATAATCCAGAACTCTGCAGCCTGTGTCCTCTCCCGCACCAAACTCTGTGACCCCATCTCCCCCATTCTTGCCCGACTCCATTGGCTCACTATCCTTCATAGGATCCAGTTCAAGATCCTGGTCCTCACATACAAAGCCCTCCATGGCCAAGCTCCACCCTACCTCTGCAACTTCCTGAACCCCTACCAACCAGCCAGTTCCCCCCGCCCCCCCCACCCCATCAGCCAGCTCTGGCCTGCTCCACGTCCCCCAATCTACCCGCCCCACCATTGGCGGGAGAGCCTTCAGCCACTCTGCCTCCAACCTCTGGAATTCCATCCCCCAGTCACTCCGCCTCTCCCCTCCTTAGCCTTCTTCAAGTCCCGCCTCAAGACCCTCCTCTTCGACCATGCCATCGGCCACCCCCGTTGCCCTCCCCTCCATTCCCCTCCCCTGACCCCAGCTCGGGTCTGGAATGCTATACACTGTGCAGCGCATTAAGGCGCTAGACAAATGTAATCTTGTTGTTGTTAGATTGGCTCAGAAAAAAAGAGGTGACTTTGTTATTGCAGCCATATTCTGTATTCGGAATCAATTGCTGCTGTACAGACCAGTAGTTAGATCAGTTAACCAAGGACGACGCGATTAAAATAATCAGGTGGGTGATAAAGTGCTGACATCAATAAAGTGCTGCCTGAAACAGGGAACCATGACATAAAGTATAGCAGAGCCACACTGACAGTGAGAGTTGGTGTGTGAGCGAGTGCATCGTTCGCTGATCCAGGCCGTAACTCCCACTCGAGCCTCCGAGATTCAAGATCAGTAACACCAGAACAAATACTGACCACTTTCTATGATAACAATTTCTATGATCAGCAAATTTCCCCTTGAATTCCAAAGATGAATAATTTTTGTCCATTTCAAAGTCGTGCCTTTCCAGTATTCAATATATCAGCCCAGATTATTCACCTTTGGAATTCAGGGGGAAATTTGCTGATCATAGAAATTGTTATCACAGAAGGTGGCCATTATTTGTTCTGGTCGTGTGAGATCATGGACTAGATTGACACTCCAGTGCAGTGCTGTAGGAGTGTTTTATTGACGGAGCTGGTATCTTTTTGATCAGATGTTAAACCATAGTTCCGTCTGGGCCTGTTCAGTTCGACAAGAGCCCATGTCCCTATTCAAAAAGGGAGTTTCTGCCGGTGTCCTGGCCTACAATTTCCTGGGATAAAATTGGTCACTCAGTCCATGGCTGTTTGTGAGGCATTGCTGTGTGTAAAAAGTCTCAAAATGTCACACTTTACAGTGAATCTTGTGAACTGCTTTGAGACATTCTCCCAATGTAAAATTGCTATACCAAATGCAAGGTTCATCACTATTTCCACTGATTGGCAAATGAGTGATGAGGAAAGTATTGAAGGAAATTGAGATATTAATGACTGTTCTTAATATAAAAAGGTTATTGAAAGAGATCAAATTACTTATGTTGACAGTGAGAATAGAAAAAGATGAGTATCTGACACATGCAGAAACCTATCACCATGCTTAAGAGTATCCAAACCCAAACTATTAAGAGCTCTACATATGTATGAAAATTTCCCAGCATCTGAAAAGGAGTGCACATTCTCTACCTGGAGGAATACGGTGGTTCTCCTAATCACAGAAATATAAGGCAAAGATTGAAATGATCCAATGTCTTGGAGAAACCCATGTGTGTGTATTGGTACTGCTCAAGTTTAACAAGCTAAAAAATCTTGCCACTGGCCATTACAAACAAGTCTGCCAAACTTCCCATTGCTCCTACAGTTAGCACCTCTTCCCACTCCTTGTCCAACAACAAAATTACATTTGTAAAGCACCTTTCATATCGGGAGGATGTTCCAAGGCGCTGAACAGTCTGGGATCAGGACCCAAGAGTGTGTGTGTGGGGGGGGGAGACAGGGTTGGGAATGAGGAAGGGCAGAGGGGGTAGGAGGGCAGCTGAAGGCACGGTCAAAGAGGGTCGTGAGTCGTGCCTTGAAGGAGGCAAGAGAGGCAAAGGGATTGTGGGATAGATTTCCAAAGAGTGGGAGCAGAGAGGCTGAAAGCCTGGCTGCCAATGGTAGAGCGGGTTAGGTGTGAGACCTGGAGTGGAGGGAGCGGACAGGTTGATAGGGGGTCAGCAGGTCAGAGATGTAGGAGGGGGCAAGGCCATGAAGGGCCTTGAAAATGAGAAGGGTTTTGAATTCTATCCTCTTGAGGGATGGGGAGCCAGTGAAGCCGGGCGAGGGTGGGGGTGATGGAACCATGGAGCCTGGTGCGGGAGAGGACACGAGCTGCAGAGTTCTGGATGATCTGCAGCTTGTGGAGGGAAGAGCTGGGGAGGCCAACAAGGAGTTTCCGTAGAGCCTTGAGGTGACGATTGCGTGCATGGGAGTTTCGGTGGCTTGAGGGGTGAGGCAGTAGCGGAGTCGGGCAATGGTATATGGAGATGGGGTAAGGCAGAGCAGGCAGGTCATGGCATGAACATGGGTGAGAAGTGACAGTTGAGGGCCAAACAAGATGTCCAGGTTCCTAACTGGCTTGGAGGTGGAACGTGTAACCGTGGATGCTGATACTGCCAGCGCCTGAGGTGCGGAGGCGCTGGAACAAGCCAATCAGGAGGGCCTCAGTCTTGCTGACATATAGCTGCAGAAAGTTGGCTCTCATCCAGGATTTGATGTCAGACAGACAGTCTGTCAGGATGTCAGTTGTCCTGGAATTGATGGTGGAGGCAGAGAGATAGAGTTGGGTGTCACAGTACATGTCCACTGTGGCTTGCTGGGTTAACAGGGGCTGAGTGGGGAGAATCACTGCCCCCAGTGACCAGTCTGTCGCTCCATGTCCTCCTGAGGCAGGCTGGCTGGTCTGTCATCAGCATTGCCTTGAAGTCCTGCAGACTTCTGTAGCTCAAGAACTCCTGTGACTGCCACAGAGGATCGATTTAATTGTGATATTCCATTGCAAGGCACATCACCTCAGAGCTAGCTCAACCCTCAAATGACCCCCTCCCCCCCAGGATAATCACTAGTTAGAGCACTAACCTCAGACTTGGTGCAGTCACAAAAATTATGTTCTTAAGTACTTTATTCAAACTCATATATGATAAAATTGGATTTAATAGCAGTGCAATTTTATCACATTTATTCTGAACCCAGCTGTTTTGTCAGCTGGTCCCAATAGCAGGGCTGTTAATCATGTAGTGCATTGACAAGTGAGAGAGCAAACCTTCCCAAGTCTGGCAAAGAGGGCAACCGTCAAGACTTGCTCGCACACGCTATTGAACCAACCACAGACTGACTGAGATCGCACAGGTACAACCTACAAATCAACCCAAACACATGCAAAGAAAAGTCCCAAATTACACTGAAATATATAAAATAACCCTCCCCATTCTTTTACCGTCGGGTCTTTGAATCCCGCAATGAAGCCATGAGCGTTAAATTGTAAACACGAGCAATCTGTCCTATTCAAAACGGAATAATAAATTAAATGAAGTGGGCTGGTAGGGAGCTTTAAATAAGATCCCAGACTTGCAGCGGTGACACAGTAGGGCTACTCACTATAACCACGTAAAACATGGGAGGGTGGGGAAGAAATCAAACACTAATGCAAAACTTGATGGCCACCATGCCTGGTTTGGCTCTCTTCGCAAGTCTTTTTTAATTTTTTTTAAATCCCAGTCTGCAATTTTAATTACCCTGGCTGTTAAGCGTTAGCTTTTAAATTGCGACATTTCCCCAACATTACAAGCGACACGTACAGCACTATCTATACAGGTAGTAAGCGGGATGCTCCTCCGACACTCTTCCTATGGAATACTTTGGTCCTCGCTCGCCGGGACATCAGTCGCGGAGTGGCTTTACTTGCTTCGCAGCCTCCAGCTTGCTTAGTGCTTCTTCCCACTGAACGAATTGTTTTGAGAGGAGCAGAGTCTGTGTGACACGGTTAAGGTAAATCTGCACAATTCTAGACACTAGCCACGTAAAGGACACTACATAAATGCAAGTTGTTACAGGTGGAAAATTAGTCTTTTCTAAACAAATGCCAGGGATAAAATAATATTCACTGAATATTTATCTGCCGTTCTTTTTGGTGTAGATGAAGTATTTTGGTTTATCGGCATTACATTTAATTTGTCACCAAGCTGCCAACTCTAAACACTTTTGAAAACGTTCTGCTGTATTGTCTGTCTCACTGCTCCCTCACAACATGTACAGCTTACTGTTCGTTGCAGTATCCAGGCAGATTTGTATTAAGACATCATTTTTTGTGGGACACCAAACAACAATTGCTCAGGTCTAACATTACACCTCTCGGGAGCAATCTAATTATCAACAGCTTCTTGTCTAGTCAAAAGAGAAGTAAACAAACACCTAAAAAGCTGTCAATACAGGAATAATGGGGAAGGGCAGGTAAATAGGATTGAAAGGATTGCTCTTAAAATAGCCAGAACAGACAATGGGCCGAATGGGCTTCTTCAGTGCTGTAAATTTCTATGGTTCGATAGTCTAACTTTCTTTCCCAGGTTCCTATTGCTTCTTGGTGAATTAGAAGACTTTTATGTTGGAAGAAGCTTGTTTGAACAACTGAATAAAGCATTAATATCCTTTTGAACCCATGCAGTTTCAGTAAAAACACTGCATGGTCCTAGATGCCAAAAAATTGTCACCAAGTTTAATACTGTGCTACCGAAGCTCCTTAATGAACAGGTCAAGGACAGAGCTACTGCTTACTGCACACCAGCAGCTATTTTTGACCTATAGCGCTGACACACAAGTCACCAACAGACTATTTTTTCTCCGCTAAGTGGGGTTCTCTTCTCAGGTAAAAGTCCTTCCAAATTAATCTTTGTTTACATGCAGCTTGCTGAAGGGAGAGGACAAGAGACTTGAGTTGGATTGGACTGACAGCACTTCCATTCTCCGTACATATAATTCTTCAATTGGACTTTAAGTTATCAATGCAAATAGCCACAAAAGTCTAATCCATCTTGCTACACTTTTTTAGATTTACCGAATAAATATTACTTTAAATTTTTTTAAAGCATTTCAGAGTAATTGTGTAATTAAAAGAATGGAAATGTTTTGCAGTTTGTGTGGCTACACTTTTTCCTGCTATTTTCCACTTTATTCATTCTCCAACCTCCAACCCCACACCTGCTTCTGAACATAGGGTTGACTTAAAATGCCTTTAATTGAAGGGAGCTTTTAACACGCTGAAATGAATCTGCATTCCATCTTCAGTCAGCATGACTGGAGCTGGGGATGAGATAAGAGAATGAACGTGAAGAAAGAAAAAGGATACCATCTTGTTGTACTCATCCAGGAGCTTCCTTGTATCTTCTGTGACTGCCGTACATTGGTCCTACACACAAATAGCCCCAACAAACACACATGTACAAAAACACAAAACAGGGAAAGATATACAAGGGGATTTAAAAAACACATTTTCCACTCATTCTATCAATGTGATAGGTACAGATTCTAAAAGGACTGGTAGGTTATATTAAATACAATGTGGCTGGCTACATAAAATAATATTCCTTCTGAGATTAATTACAATAAAAATCCTTGCATTTGATAATAGAGCCTTGGTGTGATGCGCTCTGAGACGCAATACTGCGTGGAGGGCGCTATATAAGTGCAATTTGTTGATGTTCTGGGTCAGAGATTGCGAGTGCAAGCCCCACATCGGGCCTTTGACCTCATATAGTCAAGCCTGACACTCCAATGCGGTGCTCGTGGTGTTGGAGGTGCCACCCTTGGATGAGATGCTAAATCGATGTCCTGCTCCCCCTGTTCAAGTGAACGTTAAAGGTTCGATGGTGTTATTTGAAAAGAGAAGGGAGTTTCTCCAAGTGTCCTGGCCAACAATCCCCCAGATAAAATTGTTCATTCATCACGGCTATTTGTGGGAATTGCTGTGTGCAAATTGCTCTATATCAAATGCAAAGATAATAATCAGTATTTATCCCATTATCTATAACAGACGAGAACAATGACGTTACTGGTGACTCAAGCTTTGAAAGTGGATGCGGTCACCAACCAAGAATCATTGCAGGTCTCAGTCAAACTATTGTTTTTTCACATAAATGCTGAATACAGCAGTGCCCACAGTACCTGTTCCTGAATTTGAATCTGGGTCAGTGATTGTAGCTTGGAAGAGTAGTTTGGAACCGCTGCACAAACACAAGGGGAGGCAAATAATATAATTTATGCAATATTATCTGCACAGCTGCTTACCTATTAACCCACTACATTATCTCAGCGGCCAGATAATTCTACTTCACAAATAATAGGAAAATGAAATATGGGGGTGATGCTAAAATTTTTAATATTTTTAAGAAACAAATGAATATCTGGTGTTAACTTACATGTAAACAGGTAACTGAGCTGGTAATTCGGCGGAATAATATTTTTGCTTCACTTTTCCACTGGAAGATAATTATACTTCAACAGCCTATTTATACACAAGATGACAGCAGATATTCATTCTTCTCTTAAAAACATTCAAAACTTCAGCATCACCTCTGTATTTCAATCTGCAGAACTGGATAAGCCGACAATCTTCCTCATTAAAATAATGTCACAATAGTACTGAATAATCAGCTCACTTGCCTATTTACACAAGATAGAAACATAGAAACATGAGTAGGCCATTCAGCCTCTCAAGCCTGTTATGCCATTCTATAAGATCATGGTTGATCTGTACCTCAAATCCAATCACTCGCCTTTGCCCTGTATTCTTTAATACCCTGAGGGAAAGGGGAGGATTTGAAGAGCTGAGAAATACAAATAGGGGCAAAGAGCAACAATTGAAGCAATCTTTTAAAAAAAGCATGACAATGTAATGGAAGGATTTTTTAAAAAAATCAAAAGACTTAAGCGAAAAATGGCAAGTATCATCACCGACCTTTAATGTGCTCGCTTTCAAGAAATGGTTGCAGTTTGCTGACTGACTCCAAAAGTGTAACTTGGGAATGTATGAACGGCTCTTCTGCAGAACAAAACAAAAGCATCAAGTTAGGAAGAGGAAATTAGTTATTTATTTACATGGGGGTAGAAAGCTTCTCTGCAATAATGAGGGCAACTATAGGTACTTTTCTCACACCGAACAAAATGTCAACTACATAAAACAGTAACAAAAGGGGCTTTACACTGCAGTTATGAAACCCCGAAGACAATAACGGTGGACACTAGAACTGTAAAAAAAATACATACTACGGTGCCATTTTCAACCAGCAGTCAAATCTAAAACTACAGTAGGTCAGATGCACCAAAAGGCACAGAACTGTGGTGTATGGGAGGTGGAAAAGGAGTGGGAGAGAGAAAGTGAAATACAGTAAGTTCAAAATTCTCTCACTAAAAAAAAATAAATCAGTCCTTCGAAAACAAAAATTTGGTCAGCCGGGTATCTGACACGTGTGGAAACCCATCACCATGCTTTCATCTCCCTGATGAATGGGTGGAGCCACCGCCTAATGCAGGATTCAACCACACAGATCAGATTGCTGGTGTGGACTGAACTGGGCATCTTCAGTTCAGCAGCAGTAGAGGGCTGAAGATGAGGGACAGGGAGGGGAAATTAACTTGGGTTTCTGCTCCCAGTTGCTATTCAGTAACATCTGCAGAGAAACATGAACATTGGATCAGGATAGCATTAAGCTCATTTATGGGCTCAGGCCCAAACATGACCAATCAATACTCACAGTTCTGGGGTCACATGTGAAGAATGACGGCTTGAACGAGGTACTGCCGGTCCTTGTTGGGAATTCCCTACACCCCCCACCCCCGCATAGGTCAGAGCGTTTCAGAAAGGAAGCGGATGACAAATGTTGACAAAAAACAAAATCCTTTTGAGCGTGACAGAAGTTGGGACAATATTAGTTCTGCTAGACCTCAGGAATGGTTCAGTGGTACTTGCCTGCCAGAATTAACTCGAGTTTCATGGCGTCCGGGATAACGATGCGATCCATGTACAGAGGATCCAAATACTTCATCAAATCGTCAACTGAAAGGTGAAACATTTCAAAACAAAACCACTTGTTAACATCCTACAAGGAATGCGAGAACGGAGCCACAGTATCATTTTTACAGAAGCCAAGGCCCATTTTTTTCTTTTAAGCAGGAAAAATTGAGGCAAGATACACTTATAAATAATAATCCTTGAATTTGTTGGAGCATCTTGTCACGCCCTTGAAATGTTCTAAAAGCTGTATAATAACTGTATAATAACTGTAGATTTGGCAGCAGCCAATGTGCACACAGCAAACAGCCGTGAAATGAACGAGCAATTTTATTTGGAGAATCGTTCACCTGGGCACCAGAAGAAACTCCTGTCTTTCTCAAATAAAGTGACGCAGGATCTTTAAAATCCACCCAAACCAGGAGTCGTTTTAACATTTTGTCTGAAGGATACCACCTCTGGCAATGTAATGCTCCCCCGGCACTACATTGGAATGTCAGCCTAGACTCTTTGATTTCAAAACCCGAGGGGCAGGAACCCACTGTATTCTGACTCAGAGGTGAGAGTGTTACCAACTGAGTTAGGGTGACACCCTAACACTGCTGCTTGTAGGGCTGAGATTAAAATGAACAGAGAAATCCAAATCAACATACCGTCTAAGGTTTCTCATAAACATTCTTTTACAAAGTGATGTACATCCACCTACATTTACAGAATGACAATTCCTCTGAGGTGGAGCAAATCTATGACCTGCTTCATGTCCTCCATCCTATCCACCCGACCTTTCAACCTATCTGCCCCACTCTCTGGAACTCCATCTTGTAGTCCCTCCAACTCACTCCTTCCCTCGCTCATCTTGTTCGAGACCGACGTCTTTGACATTGCTTTTGGTCATCTTTCCTGTTCCCCCAGGTCGGGTGCCCAGCCAGTATTGTTAAATGCCTTGGGACATGTTTCTGACGTCAAAGACGTTACATAAACGTAAATTTATATTGTACTGTATTGTTGTATTGCCAACACAACTATGCGGAAAAATGTTACTGTTTAAAGAAAGAATAGCTTTTATTCAAAAAGCTGCCTTCTTAATGCACGTTAAATACTGGAGTCTGGAGTCGGTTCCAGTGTTACTAGAGCCAAAAGGCAAACGTCCAGCACAAGAGCCACTCAGTATTGATGAGAGAAGGTTTGCATTCTTTATCCCATAGCAAATGGCTCTTCAGTTTCAATGTCATAAAAGGACACGTCGAAAAAAGACGAGGACTGGATTAAGGTTGTCTTACAATATAGCACTGCAGTCCCTGCAGATCATGGCTGTCATGCCTCAAAAGCAATCTTGTCCCCATAAAATTCAAAATGGAAACCTAGAAGCGTGACACAGTACTTGCTTTTTATACTTATAAAGAATCATTCATCCCGTTCTAATCTGTTATATTTTTTCTCAATTTGAGAGTAAATTGTAGCGAGACCCTCTTGTGCCACCTTGTGGAGGAGCTCAGATGAGATGTGAATCCAGGGTCAGATTTCAGGTTAAATAGACTTTGAGGCATCAATTGCCTTATGGATCCTGGGAAACTAAGCTGGGCTTCAGGACTCAGCTGACGACATCTCCTTTACTCATTTCCAAATCAGCAGATCACACAAAAAAGTATTTGTTTTCTATTTCACTCTCTATCCTCTTTTATCTACATAATATACGTTTAGATTGTTTAAGTCTTTGCTTTTAATGCCTGGTCTATCAAGTTGGAGACAAGGCGCCTGTTTATAGTTCCTGCTCTTCGCTGCATTGTACTGCACTGCAGAGTTCAAAGGCATACTTCAACATACTTTAATATCGCATGTAACAGCAGCAACAATTTCGCATTTAATTAGTGCCTTTCACTTTAGGAGGGCATCTCAGAGTGTTTCAGAGCAAACTTAAATTGCAGAATGAAATAGCAGCATCGCTAATTTCTTCATCAACTAAATGAAAACTGCTCTGTTTCATTAAACACCAGGCAAAAACAAAACCTCACACGAATTGAGCAAGCTTCTCCCAGCTCCACCCTTAAACACACAAACTGCTGGCTTTCTTTCAGTCTTCACAAGAACAGAAGGTAACAAATGTGGCTGACTTGCATGGCACAATACGCTCTTGATGCACCCAATTTAACCACTGGAATTTAAACTGTTGAATTTGTTCAGGGCTGCGAAGGGGAAGTTTAGGACACACACCGGGAAGTAGTTCTTTACAGAGTGTAATTGACAGCAAGTTACCAGTGCACTGGACTCATTAAGGAACATCTTAATGCTCAAATCACTTCTAAACAAGGATCCTTTTGCAACCTCATACTGTTGCTGTTCAAGATTTTCATATTCATTTTCACGTTGCAAAATGTCAGCTATTGCCCATTTTTCATGAGTTTCATGCTGTTGTGCCTTTTCACCTTGTATTGACTAAATGAATGCAATCCTACCGAGCTGCCACCAGTGAACTGAATCATGTACAAGAGCATGTGTGATAGAAGTACATAAAGCATCCTTTCCCCTCTTTCCCCACTCCTCCCATGAAAAACATCCCAGTTTCCAATTGTTGCTCAAGTACAGGGTGTACACAAAGTCCTCTTATCCTGTTACAAACAGCGATATGAGACTATGGAGGATCTGAAACAAGCTGTCAGACGTGCATTTCTCTGTGTCACTCCATCCATGTTACGGAAGATGTCTCATTCGACATAGGGACGGATCGTTGAATTGGAGCATATTTGGGGTTGTAAATATAGTGGATTTAAATTTTGTAGAAAAACAGTTACAGTATGCGTTCTGCACATGTGGGTTCTCCCATCTCTTTTTACTGAAAGTAGGGAAGTAACTAATTATTCTTAGAGGTTTGTTTCAGGAAATGTTTCTTGGCAGACAAGTCAATCTGCTGAAATCTGTTGTGAAACTTCTCTGGAAATGTTTGTATCACTCTTTATCACTCTACAAACTTCAGCCAGTTGCTAGAAAATTAAATGTAGGAAGTACAAAAGACGTGATATGCAAAGTGTTTAAAACTGTTCAGGTGGGAGATCTGGTTTGAAATACCAGTCTCAATTTTTTCATGTTCATGCTTTTCATCCTCTGACTAGCATTCAGCAATGCTGGGCTGATTAATGTTTTCCTCAGTCAGCTGTCCATAGAGTATAACTCAGAATGTGAGATTAACCATCAGTATTTATCCATTTCCATTAATCAATGTTCAGGGCCACAAAGTAGAGAGAATTGTGTTTCATTTTTTTAATTTTAAAAATTAAAGAAATATCCCTGAATGTGCTCTTTTTCCTGCAAAACTGTACTTATTACAATATAGCAGTTGTCCAGGAATGTATTAGGACGGTGTAAATAGTTGAGTTGAAATACAAAGCAAAAATGCATAGTAATTTGATCAGCATTGAAAGAGATTAATTGTGTGTGACCTTCATTGACATTGTTAATCTGTTGTGGATTACTAGGATTTTGTGTGTTCAGGACGGAGTCCTGTAGCTCAGTGGTTAGAGCACTCGCTTTGCAAGCGAGAGACCTGAGTTCAATTCCAGGCAGGGCGAAACCTTGGGCAAGTTTCCTTACTCCACACAGAGCCTAATAATAATCCCTCCAAAACCCAAAACAATAATAAATTGGTCATTTTCAATCTACGACTGTTTGGTTTGTGGGACATTGCTGTGCGCAATTGGCTGCCGCGTTCGCCCACAAATATACAGTCAATTCACTTTACAGTATATTCTGTGAAGCGCTTTGGGACGTCCTCCCGACGTGAAAAGCGCTATATCAAATGCAAGGATTATTATTATTATTATTATCTGCCCTGAAAACGATGACGCTCCTCTGGACGACCAAATACACTTAAACACTTGCACTGAATACAATCAAGCACTTCTAAATACATTTATCATCATTCTTCCACATGTTTCAGCTGTTAGTGAGTGCACTGTAGAAAAAAAACATGGGGGTAAAAGAACTTTGTGGACACCCTGTATGATGCAGTGGAGTGAGGACACATGGTGATTTCAGGGTAGGGAGGGGGTATAAACAGAGTGGAAGATAGTGGAATCTTGCAGGCAAGCTTGCATTCAACCACTATAGCAACCATCCAAATAAATCCACAGCTTCCTCCAGTGCATTCTGCAAAAACATCCACCTTCAATAAATTGTTAAATCCGTCTCCATAAAATATAGCCTCCAATTGTAAACAGTTTAGCTTACATTGGGAGCCTTTTGAATGCCTTCTGGGGCACATTTTTTTTCAAATATAAATAAAACAGGAGCTAAGTTGAGAGGAATGTTGACACTCCAATGCAGTGCTTGGGGAAAAGCTGCTTTTTTGAAGCACCATCCTTCAGATGAGGTGATAAAACTGAGGTCCTGTCTTCTTGTTCAGACAGATATAAGATCCTATGGCACCATACCCACAAAAATCACCACACAATCACTATAATTTGCAGTAAAATCCTCTGAAGAACTTTGAGACGTTTAGATGACATTTAAAACGGTATATCAAATGCAAGGACTGTACATCATCAGTTTTTTTTCCCTGAAAAGGAGCATGATTGAAGAGAAATGCAATAACAGGATGTGCCAATCCTAATCTATTCCAAATTTCTAAATATTTAACTTATAAACATGTTCTGCAGCTGAGTGAAGACACAGAAGTTGCGTGGTGCTGCAAAAACAAGCACACACACTACCACAGGGTGTCAAAGAGGCCAAGGAACTCTCTTCTCCGGAATTCTGGTTTGCTTTCTTTTTACAACAGTTTCAGCACACAATGAATCAAAAGCCACGTGGTTGTTGAGCGTGCAGGAATTGGAGCTGGAAATATTTTCTGCAACATTGAATCTCAGACCTGGCACACTATCATAATGAACCCAATCTATACCAGCTGAACAGCTATTGCTCAAGCAAATGAGCTCGAAAGAAGGATTTAAGTGTCAGGTAAATGTTCGATCAAGGAGTAAAATCCATACACAGTTCAAAGCTGTGTTGTGTAGAATAGGCAGTACTTACTTTTCTTGTACAGAGTTTTTATCCTTTCCCTCTTGCCAGCAACATTCCCCAAAGAGACCTGGACCTTTACCACAGCATCAGTACACTGGAAGACAAAGACGACACAGGAACAATAAATGCAGAGCAAAGTACATTATTACTCCAATCGGCACCTCTGGATCATGACTGACTAGCACACACAAAGATGCCTTTATTCCAAAAAATACCATGCTCATGTTCCATAAGCAGCACATTGTGACTGGGTATCCAGGTTCTCAAGTGAGGGGCTGCAAATGAAAGTGCATTCTCCCCCTGGAGGGACACATTCTGCTTACCCAATTCCAGACAGTAATAAGCTAACAAGCCAAGGCTTGAGGACTGCACAGTGTAGGTAGCAGGGGGAGGGGGAAAGAGAGAAGGATTGGTAACTGCTGGAGTTTAACCTGGTAGAACCGCAACCTGTGACCCGGAGGCAACAAGAACCAGTTACATTTACATACTGTCTCTCACATAGGACGTCCCGAGGTGCTGGACGGTCGAGAGTTTGCACCCAAACTGGGGGATGGATTCTGGAGGGGTGGGGCCAACACCACCAACTTGGATTTATATAGCACGCTCCACGGCGCAAGGCGTCTCAGAGTGCTTAAAGGGAGGGAGGGAGGATGACCGGAGGCGCAAGCCATGTGGGTTCAGATGATTAGACTCCAGCAGTACCCAACACACACTCTAGGGTCTCCAAGCCTTGGCTTTTCTCCACAAACGGTTTCTCCTCAAGAACCTGCATCATCACATGCGGCGTTCCTCAGGGCTCTGTCCTTGGTCTCCTTCTTTTCAATATCTATATCCTCACTCTTGGTGACATCATCCTCAGCCATGCGTCAACTTCCACATGCGTGCGGATGACACCCAACTCTACCTCTGCCTCTACCCTTGACTCCAGGACCACTCCTGTCCTGACAGACTGTCTGTCAGACATCAAGTCCTGGATGACAGCTAACTTTCTACAGTTGAACATCAACAAGACCGAGGCTCTCCTGATCACCTCCCGTCAGCATCTCCATGTCTCAGGAACTGATAGCATCACCATCCAAGAATGCACACTCCACTTCACTGAGCCAGTCCAGAATCTTGGAGTCTTGTTTGACCCACAACTTGTCCTTTCTACCCAACATCCATGCCATGACCCCCTCTGCGTTGCCCCACCTCTGCAACATCGCCTGGCTCTGCCACTGTCTCACATTGCAGGCCGTCAAGACCCTCAAATATGCATTCATAACATCCAGGCCCAACTAAGCAAACTCCTTGCTTGTCGGCCTCCCCAACTCCTCCCTCCATAGGCTGCAGATCATCCAGAACCCATGTCCTCTCCCGCACCAGGCTCCGCGACCCTCTCACCCCCCATCTTTTCCCCTATCCTCTGCCTCAGCCCCTCCCTTGCCTCCTTCAAGACTCTACTCTTCGACTGGGCCTTCGGTCACCCTCCTTCCCCCCCACCCTGCCCTGCACCCTTCCTGAACCCGCTCCCCAGCTCGTGTCCGAAAAACTGATTATCCTGCGCCTTCGGTCACCCTTCCGACATGAAAGGCCCTATACAAGTGTACTTTTGTTATTGTTTCCTAATCATTTGCCTCACACTTTCTGCAGACGCTCAGCTGAGCAGAAAAACGAGAAAGATCTTGAGACGGGCCTTGAAGGAGGCGGTAGGACTCCGGGGTGGAGTTCCAGCGGAATCGACCCAAGGCCGGACAGACTCAGAGGCCGGATCTACAACAACAACAACAACTTGGATTAATATAGCGCCCTCCACGCCGGACGGCGTCTCAGAGCGCTTCACAGTAACAGGGGCGAAGCCAGGGGGAGGGGGAGAGGAATCGAGTCCCCGTTCGACTCATCGTCTTTACCCAAAACAACAACTTGCACCTGGGAGAGCGCGGCTCACGCAGGGGCGGCGGCGGCGCCCCAGAGCGCTTAAGGTCTGGGACCCCAACGGAAATAGCCTCGTGGTCTACACGAGATGATGACCGCGAGTTTGGGACACGACGGGCGGCGGAGTGTGAACTGGGTGGAACTTGGTGGTCTTTCGCCAGCGAATTCCGACGCTCTTATGGACTGTTTCCAACAACAGCAACAACCGCTTTCCCTTCCTTCCTCTTCCTCCTCCTCCTCCTCTTCCTCCCTCTCCCGGATCCTCAGCCCCCGACACCGAGCCTCAGCCCTGCCGGTCCCCGGGGGGGGGGGTGTCCAGCGACCCCGCCCTTGACCCTTTCCCCCGTGGCCCCTCCTCTGTACCTGTGGCTTGGCCTTGGCCCCGGTCCCGGCCCCGCCCTCTCCGTACAGCCGCCTCTCCACTCCTGCAGCCGCGACTCCAGCTTCTTGAGCTCCGCCATGGCTGCCAACGGCCACTTCCGGTCGCGCCGGGAAGTGACGTGACCCGGGCGGGGCGGAGAGAAAGCCCCTCTCCAGCGCGACTTGGCGACACCCGCCCCCACCATTTGCGGTAGTGGGGCGGGGAGGATTTTGCGACAGCGAGCGGACGGTTTGCGGCAGGAGGTCGGTCGGTCGGTCGGCCGTTTGGCGCCTCGTGAGTCGGTGGGTTTTTTTTTAAAAAAAGTGATAGATATATATTTAAAGAAAAAGAAAAAAAAAAGTGAGTCCCCCCCGGGGAAAGGGGGGGGGGGAGAGAATTTCCGTCCAAAAAACCTGCAGCGCGATGGAAAGAGCGCGAAAACTGAGCTAAAAAAGGAGGGGGGGGTCAAAAAAAAATAGGTGGGTGTTGGCTTTAAAATAAATATAGGGGAAGGGCCTGAACCGTCTGTCTGACTGACTGACTGACTGACCCCCCACTGTCCAGACCAACAACACCCAACCCCCCCCCCTCCCTCCCCTCCCCAAATAAAGTTGGCCGCTCGCTTCGTGGCTGTCCGCGGGACGTTGCCTCGCGCTGTCGGGGGCTGCCCGTGTCTTGCCCCGCGAGGTGTCCGGTCCGGTCCGGTCCAGTCCGCCCACTTTGCGGTCCGTTCCCCGTGGAAGCGCTTCGAGACGTCCCGGACCGTATGAGGCGCTCATGTCGAACGCGAGGTGTGTGGGGGGGGGGGGGGGGGGGTTGGTTGTTGTCGTCGTCAGCCGTCGTGGCGGTGGTCGTTGCTCGTGATGGAAAGTCTCGACTTGGCAAGTCTGCAATCTGTTGACGAGATGAAGTTCATGCAGTGCCCTCCACCCCACCCCCCCCCCACCACCTGAGAGTGACACTGAGCCTCCGGTGCCCTTCTCTGTACAGTAACGAGGTGACGGTATTTTTGCGACTAAAATCTCTGGGCACAATGATAATAATGATGATGATGATGATGATAATCCTTGCATTTGATATGGCGCCTTCTCACTCGCTCAAGATATCTCCAAACAGTATATCGCGAAGGGGACGAGACGCAAAGCACTGCAGGTGCTGGAAATCTGAAGCAGAAACGGAGCGAGAGAGCTGAGAGCGCTCAACAGGTCAGGCAGCATCTATGGAGAAAGGAAGGCGAAGTCAACCTTCCACGACTCTTTGTCAGGAATGACGTGCTCTGGCGAAGGGTCGTGGACCTGAAACGTTGACTCACTTTCCTTTCTCCACAGATGCTGCCTGACCTGCCGAGTGTTCCCAGCGACTTCTGTTCTTGTTTCATACCGTAAAATGAATTGGCTGTTTTAAGTGTGAAACCCGGCATCCAGTTGAGCACAGCAATGTCCCGCAAACAGTCGTGGAGTGAATGACCAACTTTATTTGGGGGATTGGTTGGCCAGGACATCGGGAGAGAGAAACTCCCTTCTCTTTTCGAATAGTGCTATGGGAACTTTTATGTCCATCTGAACAGGAAGACGAGACCTCGCCATTAAAATTGAACTCGCCGTACAACAACAACAACAACTTGGATTTATATAGCGCCCTCCACGCCGGACGGCGTCTCAGAGCGCTTTACATGCACCCAAGTCCCATTCGGTTTCCTATCAAAAAATGCTTTGATTTATTTGCATTTGTTTGTTATAAATCAGATAAACGGCTAAATCGTAACAGTTTCTTGACCCCAAATAATCCTAAATGCTATGTAAATCATCTAACTCGTAACGCCACGACTGTATTTAGCATTGAATCGTGGGAAATCAAGTCTTGACCTGTCATAACATCTCTTCATACTCTGGCACCTTCATACCTCCCCGATCCACTTACACCCCATTCTACTACCCGCCCTTTTAGTTCACCTGGCTCCGGCCTTCTGCACAGCCCTCGTTCCGCTCTGCTCCACCATCGGTGGCCGTGCTTTCAACAAGAAAGCCCTAAACTTTGGAATTCTCTGCTTCAATCCCTCTGCCTTGCCATTTCTTTGCCCATCTTCAGATCAAACTTGTAGGCCTTCCTCTTTGACCATGCCTACTGTCATCTCCCCTCTCCCCGGCTTGGTGTCAAGCTCTGGCACTATTAAGGACTCCGTGACACTATCCTTGTGACGGGTGCTATATGTTGCGTTGTATCTTTTACATTCCCAGACGATATACTTTAAACATTTGTTCATTGAATTCAAACAGGGCCTCGGAAGCCAGCGGTGAAAAGCTCTTGAAATGGAAAACTACCAGAAAGCCAAAATCACAGAACTGCCAACAGAACTGCCATTCACCAACCTCCCGAAGGATATAATTGAAATGAAGGTGAAAGAAGGCAGCAAAATCAGAAACCTGATGGGCTACGCCATTGGGAAAATGGAATCGGACGACACCAGGGTGATGCTTTTCACCGGCACTGGCAGAGCGGTGAGTAAAGCCATCACCTGTGTGGAGATAATGAAGAGAAGGCTGAAGGGACTCCAGCAGATCACTAAGCTGTCTTACAAACAGGTCGAGGAGCTGTGGGATCCCATCGCCACCGAGGCAGGGTTAGACAGTCTAACCGTGAAGAGAAACCTCCCTGCCATCTGGGTCTTGCTATCCAAAGACAGTCTGGACCCGAGCGAGCCGGGTTACCAGGCGCCCGGGTCCTTCGACGCTCTGTGGATTAATTCGCTAAAGGAGGAGGCGCAGGTTCAAAGGAAGAAGAGGAGAGGAGGAGGTGGAGGAGGCATGACAGGGAAAGGCAGTAAGCAGCCAGGATCGGGAAAGGGAGAAATACCCAAGAAAGCCAGAAGCTGAGGGCAGGGGGAGAGAGCCAAAATGGACAAATGTGTACCATAAAGAACAATTCTCAATTTGCTTTTTTTTTAAAAAAGTCTCATGGACCATCTTCTTATTTGTGCTAAATATCACCCTCAGTGTGTTTGCACACACTGTACACTGGGTGTCCCTGTGCTTCACAAGAATCCCTGACATTCAGCCACTAGAAACAATGTACATATGTAATGTATGTAAATTACAGCTGCTTCGTCTGTGTTTTGCCTTCTGCCTGTTGATGAATGACTCCTTTTGTGGTCCCAAAAGAGATAAATGACTAGCGAGGTTTCAAAAAGCTTGTGTATTGCATTAACCACCACCCCCCCAACCCCCGGTTGGCCAGACCAATTGATGGTGGCAGTAGGGAGATAGATGCAAGCCAGATTTACTGGCTAGGTGTAATTCCCATGCAGGTAAAGACCATTTACTGCCTTTTTGATGTGGGCCTTTTTTCAGCGCTGGCTTTTTTCAATGCCAATTTTTTTTAATTGTTTGAATCCCAGGAGCAAAAGCTTAGCAAATAAGCTACCTTCTATTCGTGTGTATCAAACTAAGCTAAAGTGGATAACCCTGCCTGACCACTGAAGGTCAGCAAGCCGGGGCGATGGGCCGTGCGTTAGGAGAGTGGAACAGCGGGAGTCAACATGCGCGAGGGCTTGCAGATTTTTTTAAATTCTGTTTCAGGCCCGGTCTGGCTGTGTACAAATTCCTTATACTCTTAATGAGAGTTTACTGCACTAGAATTTTGTCATGTGCTTCCTTCTTTCACTTAAGTTAAACCAGTATGAACCACTGAACTCCAGACTTATAAGTGAAAGACCAATTTTTTGTTGGCCAGGACACCGGGAGAAACGCCCTTCTCTTTTCAAATAGTGCTGTGGGAGTTTTAACTTCCAGCTGAACAGGGACCCCGGTTTAGCATCTCATCCAAAGGACAGCACCTCCAACAATGCAGCGTTCCCCTGCAATGTGCTGGAGTGTCAACTTAGACTATATGAGTTCAAAGTTCTGATGTGGTGCTTGAAACCCCAAACTTCTCTCTTGGAAGGGGGAGTGCTAAGTACTGAACAATTGAAAGTTACAGTGATAAATACAATCCCGTTTGAAATTGCAATTTAACTTCCAGCAGTCTGTTTCATGTCTTACTTCAGTCCTGCGCACCCACATCAAAAATAGGACATATACTGCAGCCACAGGGGTTAATGATGTGGGATGTTTTATTACTGGTCATTTTGTTTACGAATGGGGACGAGGAAACGCCAGCATTCGTTAAGGAACAAGTTTGCTGCGCTTTAGCAAGATTAAATGTTACTGAAACCGCAAGAGAAGTGTTTGTAAATATTGCTCTTTGTTGGTTTGAAATGAAGACATGTCACGTCAACAAGATGAAATGGCCCTCTATAAAATGGTGCTTTGTGTGCCTCCGTTAATAAGTTCATTCACTTACATTGTATGCTTGAGCTCATAATCTGCGCTAACATTCCAGTGCAATGCTGGGGGATTGCTGATAAACTGGAAACACTGACCACTTTGTTATAACATAACGCTCCCGAGTTCATGAACCCAAATCACAACAAATTACATCTGTGTAGCGCCTTTCATAACAGGAGGACGTCCCAAAGCGCTGGTCAGTCAGGGATCCGCACCTGAGTTGGTGGTTGGGGTTAGGAGGGGTGGGGGGCACCATCCCGTAAGAGTCGGCTAGTAACGTCATGTACCACCCAAGTCCTATTTTTATTTTGGTCAGCGGTGTCTGATACATGATCTACAACAACAACAACAACAAGATTCCATTTATAGAGCGCCTTTCACGTCCGGAGGACGTCCCAAGGCGCTGTACAGTTGGGTCAGGACCTGAGCAGGGGGGAAATGGTCAGGGTGAGGGGAGGGAGCGAGGAGGGAGGAAATGGTCAGGGTGAGGGGAGGGATGGGAGGGAGCGAGAAGGGGGAAGAGAGTCGAGAGGGGAGCTGAAGGCACGGTCAAAGAGAAGGATCTTGAGACCGGCCTTGAAGGAGGAAAGGGAGGAGGCGGCGAAGGCACTGGGGGATAGAGTTCCAGAGCCTCGGGGCTGAGAGGCTGAAGACCCAGACACCGATGGTAGGGCGGTTGGGGCGGGGGACGTGGAGCAGACCGGAGCCAGAGGAACGGAGGGTACGGGCGGGTAGGTAGGGGGATAGTAGGTCAGAGAGGTAGGAGGGAGCAAGGCCGTGAATGGCCTTGTAGGTGAGGGTGAGGATCTTGAATTCGACCCTCTGGGGGATGGGGAGCCAGTGGAGGCGAGCGAGGGTGGGAGTGATGTGGTCGTGAAGCCTGGTGCGGGACAGTACATGAGCTGCAGAGTTCTGAATGACCTGCAGTGTGGAGGGAGGTGCCGGGAAGGCCGGCGAGGAGAGAGTTCCCATAGTCCAGCCTTGAGATGATAAAGGCATGGACCAGAGTTTCAGCAGCGTGAGGGGTGAGGTAGTGCCGGAGTCTGGTGATATTTCGGAGGTGATGGAAGGCGGTGCCAGTTGTGGCGTGGATATGAGGGAGAAAGGACAGCTCAGGGTCGAACAGAACCCCGAGGTTCCTGACGGCTTTGAGAGGTGGAGAGTGCAGCCTTGGATGCTGATGCTGTCAGCGCCTGAGGTGCGGAGGCGCTGACGTGAGCCAATCAGGAGGGCCTCAGTTTTACGCACGTTGAACTGAAGAAAGTTGTCTCTCGTCCAGGACTCGATGTCAGACAGGCAGACTGTCAGGACATCGGTGGTCGTGGATTTGAGGGTAGAGGGGGAAAGGTAGAGTTGGGTGTCATCCGCATACATGTGGAAGTTAACCCCATGTCTGCGGATGATGTCACCGAGGGGGAGCATATAGAGGGTGAAGAAGAGGGGACCGAGGACAGAGCCCTGAGGGACACCGCACGAGACAGTGCGGGGGCTGGAGGAAAAGCCGTTTGTGGAAATCTACTCTGAGGCCTGCTTGTGGACAAACACGGCAGCCAATTTGCGCACAGCAATGTTCCACACACACTGATGAAGTGGATGCCCAATTTTATGGGCATTCCTCTTCGACCGTGCTCATGGCCACCTCCCTGTCCCCCCCCCCCCCGGCTCAGAGTCAGGCTTCGCCGCTGTTAAGCTCTCGGAGACGCTACCCTGCGTGAAGGGGGCTATATAAGTGCAAGTTGTTGTTTATCTGGAGGATTATTTGGCCAATGACACTGATAAAACTCCCTTCTCTTCAAATAGTGCCGCAGAGTCAGATGGACCAAAGAGTTTCCTTCATGTGAACCAATCTTGTGAATATGTCCCATCGAGTGCTTAAGTGATCACAGGGGTGATCTGTGTGGAGAAACCCGTTCTCATTTTGAATAGTGTCAATAGAGATCTTTAACATCCACCTGAACAGACAGATCAGATTTCAGTTTAATGTTTCAACCAAGAGACAGTGTTTACAACAATGTCCCGCTTACAAGATCCTCATCCTTGATTTCAAGATCCTCATCCTCACCTACAAGGCCATTCACGGCCTCGCTCCCTCCTACCTCTCCAACCTACTATCCCCCTACCTACCTGCCCGTACCCTCCGTTCCTCCGGCTCCGGTCTGCTCCACGTCCCCCGCCCCAATCGCCCTACCATCGGTGGTCGGGCCTTCAGCCTCTCAGCCCCGAGGCTCTGGAACTCTATCCCCCAGTGCCTTCGCCTTACTTCCTCCCTTTCCTCCTTCAAGGCCGGTCTCAAAACCTTTCTCTTTGACCGAGCCTTCAGCTCCCCTCTCGACTCTCTTCCCCCTTCTCGCTCCCTCCCATCCCTCCCCTCACCCTGACCATTTCCTCCCTCCTCGCTCCCTCCCCTCACCCTGACCATTTCCCCCCTGCTCGGGTCATGACCCAACTGTGCAGCGCCTTGGGACGTCCTCCTGACATGAAAGGCGCTTTATAAATGGAATCTTGTTGTTGTTGTTGTTACAGCAATGTGGCACATTTTCAGGTCGCACCTGAAGACCTTCCTATTCAACCGTGTCTGCGGTCACCCCCCCCTCTTCCCCGGTTCAGAGTCATTGTCAAGTGCTCTGGGACGGTACCTGCGTAAGGGGTGCTATATAAATGCAAGTTGTTGTTGATTCGCTCAACGTCGTCTAACGCGAGGGTGAGGGGGGGCGGGGGGGAGTGTGTCAGTGTTTCTGGATTTTTTTAAAAATAACCATAATTTGGAAACATAATAAGAACATAGAGAAAAATTACTCCAGTTTCAAAGTCGCTGATACCTAATGTTTTCAGTTCTCCCAAAATAGAACGTTCATCTGCTTCTTGTCAAGGACGAAAAGCCAGGCTGTAGGTGTGTGGTTTTTTTTAAGTTTGTTTTGGCTGTTTTGGAGAACATTCTACCCGAATCTAAGATTTTACTCTCCCTCCTGTTTTCGAGCATTCAGAGTTTGGCAAATTGTCAGTTCCAATCTTACTTTTGAAATTGTTTTTCGGTCAGCTCTTCAAAGGAATGTGCTGAATACCAACTTCAGAATTAACAATGTTTTTACAATTTGGTATGGCTCCTTTCACAGCAAGAGCTGCTTTCACAGCTGACTAGTTACCAAAAAATTTTAAATTCCTGACATTCTAAAATGCTACTTCTTGTGGAGTCCTGTAGCTTGGTGATCAGAGAAGTCGCCTAACAAGCGAGAGGACCTAGAATCGATTCCCAGGCGGGGCAAAAGTTAGGCAAGTTTCCTTACTCCACACGACTACCTAGCAGTAAGTAGGAATCTGGTTGTTAGTCAGTTGGTGGATCGCTTTTCTGGGGATAATGATTCTCGAAAGCACGGTCGTAGAGGGCCTTGAGATGGGTCTTGAAGGTGGAAAGGGAGGGGGCGAGGTGGAGGGACTGCGGGATGGAGTTCCAAAGGGTGGGGGCAGAGTGGCGGAAAGCTCGCCCACCAACCGTGGAGGTTGAGGTGAGAGGAGAGGCGGTGGATGAGGATAGAGTGGTGGACGGTGTCGAAAGCAACAACAACAACTTGGATTTATATAGCGCCCTCCACGCTGGACGGTGTCTCAGAGCGCTTAGCAGAGAGGTCAAGTAGGACGAGGAGGCAGAGGGAGCCCTGATCGAGTAAATCCTAGAGCCAGGTGGAATTTCTCCTCACATGGGCTTCAAATTTCCCAACTAGAGGAAACTAACTCACTCCTAGTTTTTTAGTGCAGGCCTAATTGAGGAATATTTAAGTTTATAATAAATAATAATAATCCTTGCATTTGATACAGCGCTTTACCACGTCTTTGAGACGTCTCAAAGCGCTTCATAGAATATACTGTAAAGTGAATTGGCTTTAAATATTTGAATACGTTTTAGTATCTTTGCTTGAATAAGACTAAATTTATTTCCTGTGGATATAAGTGAGGGTTTGTGTGATCAGAGGACGGAGCTCCATTGTCAGAGGTGTTGTACTTCAGAGAAGGGAGTTTCTCCAGGTGTCCCAGCCAACAAATCGCCCAAATAAAATTGGTCATTCACTTCAGGGCTGTTTGTAGGACATTGCTGCGAGCAAATTGGCTGCCCCGTTTGCCTACTTAATGCGGTCAATAAACTTTGTAGTAAATCCTGTGAAGCTCTTTGAGAAATGTTTTTTTTTAAATATATTTGAGACATATCAAACCACTGAGCTACAATGGAGTCCTGCCTGCAGCTCAGTGGTCCTGTACCTCAGTGGTTAGAGCACTCACCTCCCAAACAAGAGACCTGGGTTCGATTCCCGACAGGGCAAAACCTTGGGCAAGTTTTCTTACTCCACAGGCCTGATAATAATCCCTCAAGAAAAAAAAGCACTAACAAATTGGTCACTCAATCCACAAGTGTTTGTGGGACACTGCTTTGCTCAATTGGCTGCCGAGTTTTGCCACAAAATATACAGTCAATTCACTTTACAATATATTCTATATGAAATGCAAGGATTATTATTGTTAAAATATTGCTGGAATATTGAGTTCTTCACATTGCAGCTTCCAGATCAATTGCATCACGGGTCAGCTGTAATGCTTTCTTAAAGAATATCTCTTCCCCCTCGGCCTGATCTTCCCCTCGGCCTGACAAAGAGCATCTTTAATGTACTAAATCTGCTTGCTCTCTCCTGTCTGGGTCTGTTCTGAGGAGATTTAACTAAATTAGCATCAACTTCACAGACCAGATATTTTTGACTTTGAACCATCCAGAATAACAGGAGAGGAAATGACAGTATTCGTTTCATTAAGTATATTTATTATTAATCTTGCATTTGATCTAGCACCTTATTGCGTTGTTTAGGCATCTCAAGGGGCTTCACAGAATGTATCATAAAGCAGACTGTATTTTGTGGCTGAAATACAGCAGCTAATCGTGTTCAGCAGTGTCCCACAAACATTTGTGGATCGAGTGACCACATTATTCTTTGAGGGATTATTACCTTCCAGAAAGCGATCC